CTATTAATTAAAAAAAAAAAAGAAAAAAAAGAAAAAAAAGAAGTGAAAGTCATTTTAACTTTTTTGTTTCCCAGTTTTTATCCAGAAGCCGTTCAACCTAGATTTTGTTGGCGTAATCTTACTTTGAAGACCATTGAAAACTCATCTGCAGAAAGGCTTTAAAACCTTTATTTGTTAGAATGACAAAGTCAGTAAATTAGAAGTGTTGCTATTAACTTGGGACCTGATTCTGTCAACATTTATGCAGGTGCCTAATTAATTCATGTAGTTAGACTGTGAGATGTTAATGGATCACATTTTTCAGTCTAAGTGTATGCATAACTGTTTTCTAGACCACAGCTCTAAGTAAGAAAACAGTATTTAATTTTTTCCCCAAAGTATTGATTTGCTTCCGAATATGAAATTCATAGCCAATCTCTGTACATAATAAATGAATCATCCTCTATGTGATGCATTTACAAGTTTCAATGCCAGGTACAGATTTTACACCTTTGCTTGCAGCTCTTTCACTGTTGGCACAAGAATATCCTTCTTTGTACAGTAAATTAATAGATAAGAAAGACTAGAGGTTTTGTGAGTGCAACTGAGTTAGGTATTTCACAGAATCACAGAATTGCATAGATTGGAAAAGACCTTTAAGATCATCGAGTCCAATCATTAACCTCACACTGACAAGTCCTCGATTAAACCATGTCCCCATATATCACTGTCATGGAGCTCCTTGAGTGTGACCCAAAACCCTACCTAGAGAATAATACAGTTCTTAACTCAATTTCCAAAAACTTTACTGCATTAAAGGACAACATATGCTTAGAGAAACTATAAGTAATAGCATCTTATTAGTTTAAGATATTTTTTCTTGCTTGTTTAATCAAAAATGAGCACTGATATAAAAATGCAATTGGCAAGCAAACAATTCATAATAGAATTTAATAGCTATTTCCATTTTGAAATTGCAGATAGTGTTCACATGTAATAATGTAAATTAAGGACTAAACTACAGCCAGGTCTGCAAGGTCAAAATAGTTGAAGGAAGCTTTCACACTCAATGGGCAGTCCCTGTGGTAGTATATCTGGTCAAGAATGAGTACCTCATGTTCACCAAAATGAACAAAATGTAACTTTCCATCTCCTCCCCATGGCCTGATGCTTATGAATCTACTACTACTGCTGCTTGAATCATAGAATCATAGAATCACAGACTGGCTTGGCTTGGAAGGGACCTTAAAGGTCATCCAGTTCCAACCCCCCTGCCAGCAGCAGGGACACCTTCCACTAGACCAGGTTGCTCAAAGCCTCATCCAACCTGGCCACCAACACTCCCAGGGAGGAGCAGCCACAGCTTCTCTGGCCAACCTGGGACACTGTCTCACCACCCTCACACCAAAGAATTTCTTCCTCACATCTCAGCTCCATCTCCCCTCTGCCACTTTCAAGCCATCACCCCTTGTCCTCTCACTCCCTGCCCTTGGCCAAAGTCCCTCCCCACCCTTCCTGGAGCCCCTTCAGGTACTGGGAGGCCACTAGAAGGTCTCCCCGGAGCCTTCTCTTCTCCAGGCTGAACAGCCCCAACTCTCTCAGCCTGTCCTTGTAGGAGAGGCACTCCAGCCCTTGGATCATCCTTGTGGCCTCCTCTGAACTCATTCTAATTGGTCCATGTCTTTCTTGTGTTGGGGGCTTCAGAACTGGACACAGTACTCCAGTACTGAATGAACAGAGTCATGACTGTTGGCATCTTTCTGTGAGAAGATATATGAATTGCAATGGTGAACTAAAATAAGCATCTTTAGCTAATTTTTTCAGGGGAAAAAAAAAAAATCATCTGAGCAGTGAACTCTATCAGGCTATGAACAATTTCCTTGAGGAGTTGGTAGAAATTCCTTCATTTGAGTATTTTAAACATGATTCAGGAATAGCGTCTAGATAAAAGAGTATAGAAGCATTTATGTTATTTGAACTAAATTATGTTATTGAAACATAGAAATATATGTCTGGATACAACCACAAAATATGGTTTTTTGAAAAAAAATTCACATCTTTCTTTCCTGTACATGTGCTACAAAAATCTTGGTTGAGCGTTCAAAAAATGGGCGTAGTACTCCAACGAGGGCCTCACTGTGCAACTTCATAGTTTCTCCTCTCAATTCTTTTTTTAAATATTGTAATAATCCTAGATTGACCTTTGCCATTTTTTACAATAGCATCACATTGTTAGACACATGGCAAAAATCCATCTGACTTATCTTTCTGTTTTGACAACATATCACAGGTAATTATTCCTTGAGATGCTTTTTCTCATGAGTTCCATGTCCAACTGATAGTAATTTAATTTACATTTCCCTTGTTTTGCTTCTAAGAACGTTATGTGTGGCCATGTCAAAAATCTTACCAAAGTCAAACTGTATCATATCTACTGTTTCTCCCAACCCACTAGTTAGCTGCCCTGTCAAGGAAAATACTGTAATAGCTTGATACATCCTTTTTTGACAAATCTGTTGCCTGTCCGACATCTGCTCGTTATTTACAAGATAATTAAACATTAATTGCTTTATGTCGTGTTTCATTTTCTTTCTGGGTACTGAAATTAGACACTATATCCTATAATTCTGCCTTATTTTCTTCTCTACCTTTATATAAATATTTTTGTGGGTTTTTTTTTCTTTTTTTTAAATCCCTGGAACTTTCACTGTTACTGTTTTTCTTGTCTTTCTCAAAGATGGCTCAAAAATTGCTTTGATTATAGTCTTAAGAACTGCAAGGTCAATCTTATTATGCTCTGTTAACTTGAAGACATATTTAATAGATGCATTCCTTTATGTTTATGTAGACATTCTCCAAACTACTTCTTCCTAATTCAGTTCTGTTGCACTTACTATTAATTATGTTAAAAAGTAGACTATGTCTGCTATTTAGCAAATTCTAGGCAGAAATTTAAAGACCCTTTGCCTCATTTCCTGTTGCCATTTTTACATCTTTAGCTTTTACTTTTTCATCTCTATGTCCTAAAATAATTTTTCTCTTATTCTTTATGTTTACTCGTTTTCTTTGTATTATTAATGATTACTTTCGATTTTCAGTTTAAAGATTTCCTTATGCAATCATATTAGTCTCCTACCACATTTTCAAGTGTTCGATTAATCAAGATCATTTTATATATGCACTTATTCATACTCTTTCCAAAACTTCAGCTCTCAAACTCCTACTTAAAATGTTTCTCCTCTGCCTACCAATGTTTTGTTAATGTTTACCTTTTTTAAGTTTATTGTTGCTGTCAATTTTTCCTATTTTCTCCAATATATCCATGCACTTATTGCACTTATTGAACATTGTCTGCATGAAAGATACAATTCTGTTTTTATCTGCATACATGAACTAACATATATATAAGTTTGTGTATATAGAGGCAAAATAAACAAGATTTAGATAGATATATCCCTTTAAAGGGTTCTCCTTTAACAATCAGTGAGTAACACTTCAATGCCACAAACAAAGTTTGAGCTCATAGTTGTTGCCTGTTGTTCTTCAAAATGTGAACTAATCTTGAATCTTTTTTTGTGTGTTTTTACTTTAAATCAGATAGTAAGAAAGATGCATAAAACATAGTTTTCATTATGAGTAAAATATATTTAATGTCATTCACTCAAGAAGAAAAATTGGTTTCCTGACATAGTGACACTTTACTTCTTAGGAAAGATTGTCACCGCTCTTGATGAAAATGACACCAGAAATTCCCCTTTGTATTCATCGGTTGGGATCAGGCTACCAAAAAAGTGTGTTAAAAATAGGGTTTAGGGAAAAGATTATGAAGAAAGAGAATATTATAGCAAAAAATGCAGCTGACTTAAGAATCATCCTTTCCTATTCTTCCAATCATAATGCCAAAATAATAATGCCAACAGTACATGATTTGGATACCTAGCTGCTGGAAGGTGGCAAATAATAAAAATGATGTGAATATAATGAAAAGATGGCTATCTATAAACCTTAAGCTTGACCCAAGTTCCTTAAATTTATAAGAATTAATCCCAAAGGATTTTTATTTTTTTTAATCCAGCTTTCTAATGAAGCATTGATTGTATTTGTCCATTGATTCTATATGAGAGCCCAGTCCTCTGATATTAATGTTAAAATATTGAAGAACAGGAGTAACTAATACAGGAGTGTAGGTGCATTATAATTAATGGGACCTGATATTCATGTTCCTGTTTGTAGGATTTGGGTTTAAGTTGTTAGAGAACTGATTTGGGGAACATTTATCTTTCTGCACACATGATATGCTGAAAGTGATTATACCTTCAAAGGAATCCTGTATAAAATTTGAAGAAAAACCTCTGGTTACTTTAAGGAATGCCTTTAAACTATTTACATAAGTAAATAATTGCTTTAAGATATGTATTTAATAAGCTCATACCACAGTTCATAATAGTGTTAGCTAATATCTATAGCTATTTTTTGTGTTACATACATGATGATAGCGAAGAGACACAATGTCCATTTATGTGCCTTCACAAGAGTCATATTTGCTAGATTTTGCATTCTAAACATGTTTTGTCCCTTATACTATTATTATTATTCAAAATGAGCTTGTTAGTTATCTAAATTAGTAGGCATAATAGCTATATTTTGCTTTGATCATTTGGTATAAATATGTACTGTGTTCTTTCCAAGTTATAAAGGTTTTAAATGTATTTTGCTGGTAGCTCAGATAGTTTGCAGTGTCTTAAAAGTATGTAAATCACACTTTTAAAGGAAGCTTTACATTCTTTGTTGTTCAGTTGGGGGAGAGAATATGAAGATGGATATTTTCATGCTGTCAGAAAATGTGACAGAGCTCTGCATGTGTAGAGTCAGTACAAACTCGCATCATGAGCCTTCCTGGGTCTTGAAATTGTAACAGTATGTACCATGTCTACTAGAAAGTATTTATGCCCAAAGGCAGGAGGAAAATGTTCATACCAGGAAGTGGCTAATCTTGCTGCCTTTCATTTTGTTTAATCTAGTTATGCCACGTTTTGCTGAACAAGTTGAGGTTGCCATTGAAGCTTTGAGCGCGAATGTCCCACAGCCATTTGAAGAGAATGAGTTCATCGATGCCTCCCGCTTGGTTTATGATGGAGTTCGTGACATCAGGAAAGCTGTTCTAATGATAAGGGTATGTAAGTTACCTGGAAAATAGGAAATAGAAGTTGGGACCTTCAGGAAAGTATCACATTGGATGAGAGTAATATAAAAGCTTCTTGGAATCAACTTTGTTTCAGATTAAACCAGAAAAGCTTGACATTGAAACAAGTGTGAAACAAAAGTATGTACAGCAAAAAAACCCCCAAAAAACCAAAGTAAGTAAAGAGATGAGAAAGTGTTAGGAGATGAACCACAATCAATTTCTAATCACCTAGGAGAAGATTTGATCACAACTGCCAATACATGCAAGCTTCATTACTGTTTCCATAATAATAACAGTAATTCGCTAAGATCTTCAAAGTTTGTGTAGATTTTTGTTGGTGGTTTGTTGTTTTTTGGGGGTTTTTTTTCCCCATAATGTATGTGTGCTGCCTAGGATATGAGGCAAGTCTGGTAAAAATCTAAATGAATAAATAAATTATCTTGCTGCTCCAGTGAGCCTCTGCAGGGATGGTTTTGAATGTTTACTGAGGTAAAGAATGTGTCATTTCAGCGTTGAATAACCATTTGATTCAATTTGCTTAGGAATCTTTAAAAAAAAACCCCAAACGAATAAATAAAAAAAAACCCTACAGAACAACATAATTATTGTGAAAGTAGATGCGTGTCTTGCTTTTCAGTGTAGTCTACAGTCAAAGATTTAAAACAAATCAAAACAAACCAAAACAAACCTGGTTTGAACATCTCTTCAGCAATTGAAACTCTTATTTGAAACCCAAATTACCTTGAATCTGCCCCAGTGTAAGCCATGTACAAATAAAGCTACGGTGAAAATCACAGAGAAAGATGATGAAGCAAATAACGGTGCTAAAACAATAGCTCATCCCTTTGAGCAAATGTGATTTTGAGTATATTATGGCACTGATGTGAGACTTCAGGCAGTAGGAACACTCCAAAATAACTTCATTTTTGTCACCTGTCACTATGTATTACCATTTACAGAAAAAGCTTTGACAGGCTTAATTTTATAACTGCGAAACATAAATTCCATTCCTGTACCCACTGCTAATCTCAGGTAGCCTGAATTATAGTCATGACTGATGATGGGGGCAAACTGGTCCTTTTTTCTGGGTGTTCAGCAGTGACTTATGGACTGGGTTGGAGAAGAAAGATCTGCATAGTAAAGGATCTCTCTTTTGCCTTTGATTATCCAGTTCCTTAGCCTGTAATAGAAGTTTCCAAACTTCTCTTTGGACGAGAACCACCTCTAAGCACATTTTAATCTTTTATAGTCTCTGATGAGTCATTTTAAATTGCTTCATGCAACACAATCATCAGGTGAGACCTGCTGTAGACCCACACTTTCACACATCCTACACAGAGTTCTGTCTTCCAGCACCCCCCTGTACATCAAAATTGTCCCAGAGAGATTACCATGAGACTGTCCATACTGGGTGAGATGTTTCTGCTAAACACAAAGCACCATTTTAAATTCTGAAGGCACGTTCACTTATTTTCATTGCTGTCTTACTGTTATGTTAACTACTAGCTTGGAGAGCTGATCAGCATGCAGGCTTCACAATCTCCTTAGAAACATCCCAGGTTACTTTTGCAATTGTATCGCTACCACTTTCCACTCCTTGTGTGATATGAGTTAATGAATTCTGCTTCCCCAGATTAGGAAGATGTATTTCTGCATGCAGACAATTAACTTATTTATGGAGCTAAATGTAGGGCTCCTTACCCAGGTGGAGAACTAAAGGACATAAATGGACTCATTATCCTTCTGAATTAACTGGGAAAATCCACATGTATAAACTTATATAGACCAGAATTTGCTGAATCAGAACCTTGTTTTCTGTAGAAAACAAAATTAGTTTCAGTTTGAGGCGCTCTAGCATTCCCATCCAGACATCTCACACTGAAATAGAATGTATAATTAAAGGGTGAGCATTAAACTGTAAAAGACAGACTTTAGAATATTTTAATCTAATAATCTATTAAGTCTCATGCACCCCTTTAATACAGACTATAAATCATCTTGCAGAATTATAAAAAGAAAAGAAAGCTTTCAAACTTTTTAGAGCATCTGACACAAACAATTATTTTCAGGCAGTAATTGTTTCTGTGCATGCCATGACAGATTGAATTTATTGGAGATAGTCCCTCATTCCATGGAGGAAATAAAGCAACTTTTAAAATTAATTTCTGTTGTTAACATCAGTTTTAGTAGGCTGAAGGAAAGGGGGATTACCTCTGTTCTTCTCTTTTCCCTTGAAAAGGGGATATTTTGTTGTCCCTTTGGAAGAGAAAAGAGGTTCATTTTTGCATTGGGGACTATTATTATGATGGATATAGAGGAAAAAAATATCTTTCACAACTTAAGAAGTAGTATAAATAAATGTAGGAGTATAATTTTAGAACCTAAAAATAAGATTAAAAAATAATAACTTAGTTTCAACATCTTTTGTTTTACTGCGTAGCGATCAAATTACACTTTGTTTTTTTCATAGCTACTTATGAAATACCCTCTGTTATTAGACAGAAACCTTCTCTACAGTTAAGAGGAATCATAATGGCATCTTTTATCTTTCTTATGTATCTCCAAGGCCAGCCTTCTCTTTTCACACATGGCCTTTGCTATTGGCAACCTCGTCATTACCTGCATCTATGTTAGCATTAGTGTTACATTTGTTTGGATCAGGAGGGCATTTTTTGAGCCAATCTCCAGTTGTTCCCTCTTGCCTTGTTTTAGTTCATGTTACAAAGTAGTCTTAGTGCATATAAATTTGGTTCTCTGGGGTGATCCTGGAAGATGTGCTCTTGGAGAGTCTTAAATGCACTTCTATCATTAAGGGACTTTCAGTCCCTTAACCAGATTACAGCGAATTTGAATAAAAATAAAAATGAAATGCAGGTAGTGTGAATATGTGGTGCTTAGTACCAACTGTTTGGATGTATGAATCCTCTTCTACTCTTTGAGACTTGTCAATATATGGTTAGCCATGATCAACAATGGGGTAACCACTGTGGTGAAATCCAAAGTGCTGCTACTTCTCAGTTCCTCTGGAAAACTAGAGTTGGTGCAGATCCCATAATCTTTTTAAATAGCCTATCTCCAAAGGATGTTACAGGGTCCATTGTCTACATTGAATCTGGAGTGTTAGATTTTACTGTAAATCATTAAAGCTGAAGACCTGCTGTGACAGAGGTTCTCTGGCTTTGCCACTCAGATGGCTCAGTGACTTACCTGAGTCACTCGGACTGCAACTGCCTTAGTACAAAAAAAATGTACAGAATAGCATGGAGTTGAATAGAGAAGCATATTATAAAGGCTTTTCTTTCTCTTTAGTTTTTAGAATTAGAGGATATTTTATTAGAAAAAATGGGGGAATATCTTTTCAGTCTTTCCTCTCATTACAAGGGTAGCTTGACTTAGTGTTCATAGGTCTTAAATTCTTATAATTGCATCCTACAATGTTTAAGTGCACACAGCACTATTGCATAGTGGGGTTTTTATCTTCATCAAGTGTATTTAAACTTGTGAAATATTAAACAAATTGCATTTATAAAACTGCATATATATATATATGATTTTATGACTTATACAGATATAATATACGTTTTTATACTGCAGTTACAAAAGATAAAATTGTTCTGATGGAAGATATTTTGTTTACAGCAAGATCTTCAGTCTAGCAGACAGAGAGATATTAAATAATAATAATAATTCTAATTACTGGAAGCTGAAAGTCGCCAAATTCATATTAGCAATAAAGCATGCAGCTTAAAAGAGGAAGTATATATTTACTGGGTGATTTAACTGGGATTGTGAAAGATTCTTCTTTCCTGGGATAATTCATCTGAATTCAATGAATGAAGGGAAGAATATACTCTATGAGTAGTAGAGATACTGTATTTGAAAAAATTTAGTTCTGGGCTCTCTTACAGCCTGTGTTACAGAACAGACAGACTAAAAATTATGAAATTTTTCCATTTTTCTATTGACATCAATGAATTCAGAAAATCTATTAGTTTTGAAAATTGCTCTAGCTCTTCCTGCCACTGGTAATTGTCATAGTTTTGTTTGGAAGCTGTCTACGATCTCAAATCCATGTTTCCTATATCTCTGTGACCATAAATTCGGGTGTCTGCAAGACTGATTCAGTCCTTCTGTCTTCCAACTCAGATAATTTAAATTCCAGACTTTGTTGTCTTGGAAACTAGGTTTTAAATATCAAGGTCCTGTTAGTTGTGCACAAAAATTAGAGTTGTTATGGTATCTTTAGAAAGCCCTGCTGAGAGTAAAAAAAATCTTTAAGTCAAAGTACTTCAATATAATATTTCTTTTTTTTCTTCCTTTGTGTCTATAGAAATAGGAGACCCCCATTATATATGAGTTGCATCTCCAAGAGATCAGATAAAACAAAGCAATGGTGCACGAGTGAAAAGTGTGCAGCATGTTTGAAATGGTAGCATACAGCTAACAGTTAACTACTTTTCATTACCTCAATTTTTAAAAAGTAGCTATTTTTGGCAGAAAATGGGGGTGTTAAATTCTCCACACTGAAAACCTGAAGTGAGTGAATCTGGAAGTTAATTTTGAATTAGATCTCACTACTCGTATAGAGGGGAAATACAGAGATTTTTTTTGTACCTGTGGTATATTATGAACGGCTGCATTAACTTGTCCTTTTGGTTTGCACTCACTACATTTTCTCCAGGTTCTACATCTATACTCATTAAGTTTCAATCTTTTAAAGACAAACTTTCAGATTATGAATGTTAGGGAGTACCAGCAATATGGTTTTTTTCTGAATGTTTCTTTAAGAATAAATCTCTGAAACACAGAATTTTCAGAATATTTTAGCTTTTTAAGAAGAATCTTCATGTCCTTACTAGTTACAGTGTTGAGATGTAATACTTTGAATGTTATGCCCTTACTTTACTACACATATGACTATGAAAGCCTGGGAAAGGGCTACACATTATCTTTTATAGTCATATCTATAAAAGTGGTGACAGAAGAAACTAAGAAGAGTATACCTGGGGGCAGGAAAGGGTACTGGTTTTACAATGACCAGTGCAACTGGCTAGTTGAATGGACTTGGAGGATGGAGGAAGAGCCAGCTGGTTTATGAAGAAGGGGTTGAAACTCTCCACCCTGTTGCTGTTCTTCACAGTAAAGCCTAGGCAGCTGAAAAGCTGAGCCCTATGATAGGAAATACTCTCTTTTTCTAAGGGAGTTGTATGATTCTTCTAGTAGCTGGTTTGCTTATGGCAGATTTTAAAGTCACATCCTACACTCATACAGCTGAGAGAATAAAGTGATTAAAGACAGTTGGAAAGCAAGACCATTGGACATTATAATGATCACTACCAATCTTTCCTTTTTTTTCTTGTGGCAGTAGAGAAAATATAAATTTATTTTTCCACCTAAACTTCATCTCCTGTCTCTCCTGTTATATACACTATTTGTACATGCATCTCTTCAGAGATGCAGCCTGAGTTTCATTACCATACTGTCATACTTGGTTATTTCTTTCTCCAGTGCTCAGCATCAAAACACACATTTAATTCATACTCTTTAAGCCAAATTAAGATGGCTGTATTTTACTCTCCCCATCATGTGCACTTCACCATGTAGCTAGCAAAGCAGCTGATTTTCCATTACAAACAGTGATGTGCACTTCACGTTGGAAACCAGGCTGTAGTATAAATATCGCCAAAAGACTCCTCTATATTATGTTAGAGGGTTTGGACCAGTTCCTAGTGACTGAGCATCTTCAAGAGAGAGCTGCAATGACAACTGGCAATGATTAGCACCTCTGCTAGCAAACTTGACGTTGCCTCCAAGCATGAAATGCCAGCATGGATGATTTCTTCTGTAATGGCTGACCCTCTAGGTTAACTCTGAGGCATATGGGTATCCAGTAAGGTGAGGATATCTTTGCACAGTTACTGTGGTCTTTTTCTATTACCACTGTCATGTATTGCACCTACAGGAGCTGCTTGTGGCCAGATTATTGTACTAGATGATATTCAAGAAAAAAAGCCAAAACAATATAATCTTTCTTCTAAAGCCTATTTCTGGTTTTGCACCACCTATATTAAATATAGTACTAAATAGTGATTTAAAGTAGACTGTCTCTGTGTATATATATAAGGAAATTTTTTTTTTTGCTCCTAATTTGTTGCTAGAAGGTGAAAAAAACAAAAAGATCTATCGGCTATCTTTTTTCTTCCTTCCTCCATCATTTTAAACAACCTAAAATTAGCATATACATAACTAGAGTTAATCAATCTGCCCAGAGACACTCACACCATTCATAGCACCAGCAATGGAAATACCATGGCTTCAGTTAAGAGGATGAAACAAATTCCAAAGCTCTGTATCTGAAAAGAACCACAGGAACAAGATAAAGCAGATATAAACTTTACATTTGTTTCAAAACCAATTGACATAATTTACATTTTCTTTCAAGGGGAAATCTCTTATTAGCTTTGATAACTTTTTCTTCCAGGGTGTTAATTACTTTTCCCCAGGTATCTACTTTCTCTTTTGAAGATTATGTGGAGTTTCCAGTAATATAATAGTATTAGTGTCTATTTATATATGAAAGAACATTATTTTGGAATACTGCATTCCAGTTGTTAGTGTTTCCAAAAGATTTTTGTTCCTGGAACTGCAGTCATCATGTTAACAGAGCTAAGAAAAGTTGCAGGAAGGTAATGATAAATGCCATTTGTAAAGAAAACTAGAGTTGAAACAACTTAATTTTTACGACAATTCCATTTCAGTTCTTGACTACTTGGGCAGACAAGTTAATTTAAAAGGAAAGAGAAAAAGCATTTCCTGGGCAGGTAGTCGATGAAATAAGAGCTTACTGTACACAGGACTTTATCTGTATCCTTTATAAGATGGTCATCTCCTCTTTTTTGCTTTCTCTCCCTCCCTCTTTCTTTAGACCCCTGAAGAGCTAGAGGATGATTCAGACTTTGAGCAGGAAGATTATGACGTTCGCAGCCGAACAAGTGTTCAGACTGAAGATGACCAGCTTATTGCTGGCCAGAGTGCAAGGGTGAGTATAAAACCCATGTACTACATTAAATGTCTGTATAGCTACAAATGAAAAACTATGCCTCAGAAAACCAATGCAGTGATTTCAAATCTTCAGGGTCACTTAAGAAAGGATGAAAGGAAGTTAAGCTAGGTGTTTAAAGGGGTTTTTTGTTTGGTTTTTTTTTTCATATCTCACCTATTTGAAAAGACTGACTTTATTGAATGATTGTCCTTAGGCATATGTGACATCTTGTATCAGCCATTTGTTCCAGCTAGTGCTGTAGGAGAAAGCCTTGCAGGTTTGGAATGTGCTGAAACCGTGGGAGTAGTCAGCAAAATAAATAATAATAAAAAAATCTTCTCAGGGCATCATGTGCTGTATCCAGAGAAATCTTACATTTGATATGTTTCCTAGAGTGCAAACCTGTCAAGAAGATCTGTTTAAGCTACGGAGTAGTCCCTATAATTTAATTCTAGTTGAAGACATTTGTTACTGAGTCAATGTAATTTTACCGGGGTAATTACATCATGATAAACTCAAGTCATTGTGATTTGCAACCTCAGCTTGTACACGGGGATTGCAAATTAAGCTGATGAGTGCTTTGGGGGTCACAGGTGCTGGAGAAGTGAAGTTTGTTAACAGTCAGGATTATGCCATCTTCTGATGAATATTTACCTTTTACTAAATAGGCTGCTCAGCTCAGATTATAAAAAAATAAATCCATCAGAATATAATTTTGGAGGCAAACATCATGAGAATATATTTTACTGGGAAGAGATTAAAAAAAAAAAGCCTTAAAATTTTCCAGCAGAGAACCAGTGCGGAACTGGGAATTACCTGAATGATTTTCATGGCTGCAGTTTCTTCTGATAAGCACTAAAAGTGAAGTAATGGACCAAATGAAAAGCATCCTTCCCACAAACTCTCAAAAACTGTAGAAAAAAAAAAAGCTGGTAAATGGAAAAGTGACTTCTTACCTTGAATTCTGGAAGAGGACCCAGAGACCAAAAGGCAACAAAGCTTTGAAAGATCAATTCAGAGCATCAGGAAGGAGTTTTCAGGTGCTATAGGAAGGCCCAGAGTATGTCTTGACACTAATATTTTACACTCTGAAAAGAAACAGTGCATTAATGCAAACCTAAATGAAGCCTGCTTAGAAGTATGGGAGGAATGTGAGACATAGGTACAGTGGAATGGGCAGAGGTATATTTTCTTCTTAACTTCATTTCCTTAAACATTGAATACAGATGGTAAATAAACCATAGCATGTAACAGAAAAGCTGATTTTCTATCACTGCATCCAAAGGACAAAAAATTTTGACCTTGTATATCAAGGACATATAATATCTATCATTATCACCTAGATGAAGACCAGCTGGATTATAGGTCCCGTCTCAGAGAGCTGGGTGACCAGGAGCTGGCATATGGTTAGGAGAATTGCAGAATGGTTTCTGGATTCCTTACCCTGAGAACGATGACAGAACTATGTTCTGGATGCAGATGACTGTAGGATTTTTGTATTTCAAAGAACACAATGACCTGTTAGATATATTCAAATGACTGACCACTAAATTCAGTGTCAGGTACAAAGCTATTGAGATACAATACAGTTATTTCAGTCTTTTTTTGTTGTTGTTTTTACATCTGGGATTAGATAGCATACCATCCTTTCTTGATCTTGAAAACCAAGTAAAGACTGTAGTAGTGTTTTTTACTAAGAACCTAGTTCATCCAGGGACTTAGGAGTCTTAAATTCTATTACATTTATTGCAGTTATTCTCCCTGCTGGACTTAAAACTTCCTGCTTTCATCAGCTACACACTCTATAAACATACTATATTATAAAGACAATTCCATTTCTGAATAACGTAGAATGCAATATGTTACAAGAAGCAACAAATAATGAAAACCTAAAATGAAAACATGGTAAGCAGAAGCCACCCCAGTCCACAGCCTTGAGTGACTCATTGAAATGAGTCTGCTAACTAGAATAGTATCTTATTAGAACTTTTTCTGTAGAAAAGCTGGATTTTTATTTGTGGAATGTAATGGATTTGTTTAATATGCTTACTCCATAAAGCTATTAGTACTTCAGTAGAAAGACTTGTGTTGGTCTCCAATAGAAATAAAACTCGAATATATGAGCGGCATTTGCTAAAGGATATAACTTCTTTGCAAATGCATCAGCAACTGGAATAGAAGTGTTAAAACACTGTATACCAGTTTAAAGAGTATGTGATGAAACTGCCCACAGAGAGAAACCACAAGCAAGACATACAGATCAGTTTTCTAAATGTTACTACTAATATCAAATTGTCTTAATTTCAGTTAATTCATCTGTCCTAGTGTTTTATGTGTATTTTATATATTTATTTACTAGCTTGACTTGTACTACATTTTTCTTTGGAAAGACTAATATGCTAACATTTGAAATTACTGAGATACATTGATAAGGCCTAATTAAGACTCGTGTTGAATTTTAATTTGATTAACTTGCATATTTCTCATTTTCTGATCTACTGTTTATAACCTTTTTTAATTTCAGTTTTGGAAAAGTTCAATTATGAATTTTTAAAAGCTGAGAGCATTTTAAGAATATGTAGAGAAAGACTTCAACTGATTGAAAGTGACATAAACAAGAAAAAATGTAGTGACACTTAAATATGTGTCACACACCATTAAATGCATAAAGTGGTCTTCAGAAGCCCTAAAGCCAAATAGTAGCTCAACTTGGAAATCATTATTGGAAGTGTCCATTTGATCTTCAAAAGTTATTATAATTTTGTAGGGTTTTCTATTTTTTTTGGGGGGGGAGCAGGGAACTTTTTGCTTTGTTGATAACGTCAAGGCAAATAGTATCAACCTGTGCAGTGTTGTTTTGCATATCTTCCAAGAGACAATTAGACCACTAAATATTATTGAAAGGTACATTAATTATAGTTCACTTCAAATGTATTATCTTGCATGTCATGACTTATTTTAATGTTGGGTTAAGCAGAAAACCTTTATTTCTGTCAGAGCACGAGACTGCGGAAGATACTGGCAATTCAGTCTGCCTTTTCCAATAGATGTCATTCATTTTGTTCTTCTGAAAAATAAAGACTTAATAGGAATTTTCTTTAATCTTCTTGTATCAACTGATGAATAATCTGTATATCATGGCATCACATACATAATTTTTAAATTCTTGAAGGTGTAAGAAGAGCTATAGACATCCTGTGAATTTGTTTTTTTCCATCCTAACAGAAATGTCTACTGGATTTTACTTGGCATTCTGCAACTCTCATAAAAAGAAATTAGAAGTTGGGCGTGCCATTTGAACCACTGGAAATATATAGTTTCTAGCTTCCTTTTTTTCATGCCCAACTTCTCCCATTTTTTCCCCAGGCTATCATGGCTCAGCTTCCCCAGGAGGAGAAGGCTAAGATTGCCGAGCAGGTGGAAATATTCCACCAAGAAAAGAGCAAACTGGATGCAGAGGTGGCCAAGTGGGATGACAGTGGTAATGACATCATTGTGTTGGCGAAGCAGATGTGCATGATTATGATGGAAATGACAGACTTTACTAGGTAAGGACAAAATAACCCGTGCTGAGGACTTCTTCAGACATCCCACACCTTTCCTTTTTGTTGCATTTTATGGTCTATTGAGATGATGTGCTGAGTTTTGGGGATGCAAAGCCAGGTAACACACATCCTACAGTTCTGTACACATGACTGCTCAGGATATTTCTCCAAATGGGATTAATCACCTGAAGTTTTTGTCCTATATACGAATCTGTTTTATTTGCGGATCATCTTGAATTTCAGCAGCAAAGTTAATCTGTGACCTTATAGACACTCACCTGACATTTCGTTTAGTACCCATCTAAATGCATGTGCCTCTCTGAACTTTCAACATTTCAACACAATTTGTGTCAATCAAAAATAATGGCAAAACTATTTATATCATTTTTGAAGACTGAACTTTCAAAAAAAATCCCAAATGAAATGAAACTGTTTTGATCTAATACTTTATTGGAGCCTGTAATGATTTTTTTTTCCATTTTTTTTTATTGATGTCTTGTTCTTTTCTAATTGCAAAGCATCAAAAGGCCATTCAGCAATGATAACATATAAACTGAATTATTTTGTTTAAATATAGTCATATTATTAATCACACCAGGGATAACATTTTACAAGATTCTTTGAATTACAGAACACCATAAAAAATTAAAAGTTTTTCATTGTTTATTTTTAATGGGAGTTCAAAAGTTTAAATAGTATCTACCGAAATGTGATTAGACAAAACTGGACAAAAATCTTTTTTTTTCTTCAGAATTAAAATAAGACATCCATTTATTAATCTCACTGAGATGCTCAAATAGATTTTTTTAATCTCCAGCTGATCACATGCCTTGTGTCTGGAGCTTTCAGCCCACTTCTGGGGAGACAGTTTCTGCACTGACAATATAGGGTTCACACATACCTTATGTATAGATAGATAGATAGGGGGGTGGGTATAAATAATTAATTTGCATTAATTTGCAAATAACTTGTCTATTTGCATTTGCTTAGTTAATTTGTAATAGGCAACGACAAACATTTTTATTCATTGTAAATTTAATTATGCATATAGAAAGTTTGCTTAATTTAATATATTACTACTATACTTCTTTCCAAGTAATTATTCTCTCAGCTTATTTGTTTTTCTGTCAGTTTGTGCTTTTACAACTATTCTTTTTTGCAGTAGTCTCACCTCTCCTGTATACCAAATGACAGTGTAGAACCTCATTTGAAGAGTGATATTTTAAAGGAATCTTAATTACTTTTGTATGTGTATCATCTTTGGGGTTTGATCCTTCTGACCAAAAACAGAGCGGAAAAACTGTCTAAATAGTTCCATCATTTCATGGAAGGAAAAAATAATGTTCTAAAGCAACAGCCCAGAACATGAACACTTTCTGCAACCTGCTGTACAACCTTTGATACATTGAACATCAAATTGAAAGTTTTGTAATTACATTTTCTACCATCAAAAGAACAGAACTAATATGAGAATGAGAGAAAACTACTGTCACATTTGAAGTAAATTAAAAAAAAAAAAATAAAATCAAAGTGCACCTCTGTCTACATCAGATTCAATAAAAACTTGTTTCATATATTCCATTAAAACAGAACAAAGCCTTTCACACCTTTTGGATTAACTGTAACCTCAGCAGTGTTAAAATAGAATAATTTTCAAATGCATGGAGTTTGTGACACTCAGATCTGCTGATGTAATTAATGTAGAAGCATACGAGGTCACTATGAAGGATTTGTGCTACAGTTTAAGTTCAGCAAAAGTGAGGTACTTGTATTTCAATATCTGTTTAAGGTGGAATTGAAAGTATTGAAAGAAGATAAAATAGGAAAATTGTTTCAGTATGTTATTTTTGGCATTGTAGGTGAAAAAAAAAATGCAAAAATAATACTATGTCGTACTTAGGAAAAAATGCCTTCAGTTTTAGTTTAAGTAAATTCTAAATTTGATCATATTATGATTTTCCATCAGTCTTGTCTGAAGCTTGTTTCTTCACATAGTATTTAAACAAACAAACAAACAAAAGGTAAATCAGCTCACTTCCAATTGAGCCATTCTCAGAATCAGTAGCAAGTTGATTATTGTCTAAAGCAAACTCAGAAAAGTCTACAGTGATTTTACTTTTTGTTTATATAAATTTTGGTGACTTAAATGACTAAAATCAGTTTTGTGCATCATCTTAAAGTTATAGTGAAGTATGAGTCTAAAAGCTAATTATACACATTTTAACTGTAACATTTAAGGGTAACATAAAGATCACGCTTCACATATCTTTGTTTTCTGACAAAAATATACCAAAAAAAGTTTTCTAAAATGTTACATTTTTGCTCTAGACATGACAGGCTTAAGATTTAGTACTGGCTTGGGAATAACATAAATAATTTTGAAATAGTTGTGTATTCCAGAAAGAATGTTTGCTTAATGAACACTTAAAAATGCATATACTATTAAGTATGGCTCATGTGCTTGAAGGCGCCATCAGATTAAATTGCTAGTAAGGCATACTTTAAGAGAGGGGAAATATAGCAGACCTATTTCTTAATCAAGCTGTACTATAAAGTAGCTAAAAGGTGATATTGTAATAAATTAAGAAGTCATTCGTGTTTCTTTTTTAAAATCAAACACTAAACAGGATCACTTAAACTGTTGGCTTTCATGATTTATTTTGATTGTGCATAATCATATTGTATTTCACAGAGGTAAAGGCCCCCTGAAGAACACATCAGATGTCATTAATGCAGCCAAGAAGATTGCAGAGGCAGGATCGAGGATGGACAAATTGGCACGGGCGGTAGCTGATCAGGTAACAACAAAAATGATCAGAAATATAATGTAACCTCTATCGATGAGTTACCTTTTACAATAAAAGGTTATCTTTACTTGGTACAAAACTATCTATTGAAAGTCGCTGCCTGGATATTGATCTACCCATTGAATATAAGTTGTTTCTTCTATACCAGCCAGCTTGGGTTTTGCAGTACAGGAAAGTCATAAATGAGTGGCTCTAAACCTCGGGAATGCCTGAATTGTTCCACAGTCTCACTCTGGACCCAGGTGATTGTATTAGAATTAGACTGATATATTTGCTGTTGTGAAAGCAGTAGAGATTTGGCTGCTCTGTTACCCTTGCAATATCCCTAGGAATCCTTGTATTCTTTTCAGCTTGTTTTTCCAGCAATTTCCCTTGATATGGCACTTTTATTTTTGGAGATTCCCTGACTGCCTTTCTTCTGATTGGCATCAGGGTATTGTGCTTTCACCTTATAACCCCCTACTCCATGTTCTATGATGTGTGTCCTCTGTCCCGTTACAAAATTTATGTCACAACTGGAAAGATGAACTTGCTATATTTGGCCCTTTTCTTTCAGACTAGATTATCTATCCATCTGGAGAGCAAGGGGAAGCATCATATTAAAAGTCAAGAGCCAAATTTCAAATCCAGATTCTAGGTAGCTAGGTTTAGATTTAGGAAAATTAAATTTGATTTTTTTTCCCCTTGTAAATTTCTTATAGTTTCTTTCCTGTAATTTTCATCAGGAGAAATTTTGCTGGAAGTAGGAACTGATAACTTCCTTGCCTCTAGTCTTTCTCTTCAAAATAAATATTTATTTTTCATCTTCAAATAAGCATGTAATAATGTGTAACACATCCTGACAGGGACTATGGGCCAGAGTGGCAAGAAACGTGAAGCTGCCCATTTTTCTGTAACCTCAGAAATTTTGGGTTTAGGTCTTCTTCATTATCAGCACACTTTTTTCCTGTAGTTAACCCATTTGAATCCTTCAAATGTAGCATCTGTTCATTTTCGCATAAGAAAGAAGGAATCTATCTGTCAGCCAATGAAATTCATAGTCTACAATATTTGCAGAGGTGGAATATTTTAAAAAAGAAACACAAAGGGACTTGCTATGCTTAGAGTGTGTTGACTTGAGTCACATTTTAAATTTTAGAAGACTAACATGCACACTTTAATAATAAACAGTAAAATCACTATGAGAATAAAGTGTTTATTTTAATGCATGCACTTTAATGGTATTTTACAGAACTTTGGAGACACTCATCCAATATAAACTTTTTACGGACAGTTGCATTTTTAATTACTGTTCCAATGAGAGAGAGCTTACATTTTCATTTGCTCCAAGGTACTTGTTTTTAAAGCTTGTCAGCTCTCTAGCAGTATTGCTTTAAAGTTCATTTCTTTCAGTTCATAGATTTCAAGAGTAAGGTAAATATTTCTGTATTAAACTGTCACCAGTAGGGAGAAGAGGTCTCTTAGGGATTCATGCCTGAAACATGTGGCAACTGTTTGAGAAAGAGAAGCATTATAGCATTGACATAAGTATAGAGGAGATTAAACCTAGCAGCCACAATGAACCTCCAGCTTTTTTATTGCTTTAAAGGGAGAGAAAAAAGCAAAGTGGCTGCTTTCAGGTTTATAGATGACAGTATATGCAACTACCTCACTGCAAAGATGTTCCTTGCCAGCATTAGGTGTTGGGGCTAGAGCAGTCATCACAAGCCAGAGGTTGTGACGCTGTTGACTCGTGTATGTTTAATTCTATCAGTTTTTGTTGAAGTGCTCTGATAATATTTTACAAAAATTGAGCATAAACTTTGTAAGATGCTAAAAAACCACATTCAGAATCTTTGCTCCCCAAGCTATACATTCAAAGAACATTGTCAGTCAGACTTTGTTGAGTAGCCCCAAAGAGTATTTGTTGGAGACAGACTGTTAGCCATGGACTCTTTTAGCAATGTTTCATCAGAGTAAATTACTGAGGTCTGTTCTCTTGAGGCAAGACTTTGAATAATAACTACAAGAGTGTTGTTTATTATGCTGTTGATATTGTGGGGGATGACGCAGTTTCTATTGAATCTCAAATACTAGGAATAAATTGTACTTGAGCCTTTTCTAGTTATATCGATTATAAAACCTTCACTGACTCTACCATGTTTGCCCTAATGTAATTTATATCAAACACATTTGAGATGCACAGCATCCAAAATGGTACAGGACTGTAGATAGCCTTCCATCTAGTATGAAGAGATATCCCTTAGACATGCAAAGGGATCAACTTATTGTGTTCTTGGGAAGGGCTGAAATACTGATGACATCTGCTGTGAGACTATGCAATGTCTCTTACACTTTAGTAAATAATTTTCTTCTGGCACAGATTAAGGTATTTATGCATTAACTTGCCAAATTTTTCAATACCAAGCCCAGGCAGCATCACCTCTGCCTCTCAAGTCCTTAGCATATCAACAAGGGCCCTGGCTTGTGCCAAGTCTGGAGCAGAGCTATGTCCTTTGAAGGTCTGCACAAATGCCAGGGAAGCTGGCAAGACAGTCAAGAGTTGACATTAGACTAGTTGTAATTGTCAGAACTGGGTTTTTCTAGACTTTAACTGGTCCATGTTGTATCTTAACCTGGGCACCCAGCAGGCAACCTGGAGTTTCAGGTCAGGCTTGGTCTTTTGGCTGCTCAATAGATTCTTCTGTTCTGTACAAACTGATATCATAAGTGAACCTCCCCAACAAAAATAGCAATCGTATGATTTTCATTGTCTCCCATTAGTGGCAGACAGAAAGTTGTATTCTTTTTACAAAAAGGTACAATGCATCTTCAGGTTACAGTTCGTAAGTCCTGGGTTAAATGAAAGGTAGAGTTTCAATTTTCACATTTCATCAAGTATCTCATGTAAAGATGAAGTTAAATGAATCCACCTAATACACACACATTCCCACTATCTCCTCTGATTACCTCTCTATAATCATATAAACTCAGACACATCTAATCAAATATTTCTTTTATCTGTAGTGCCCAGACTCAGCCTGCAAACAGGATCTGCTAGCCTACCTGCAGCGCATTGCCCTCTACTGCCACCAACTCAATATCTGCAGCAAAGTGAAGGCAGAAGTTCAGAACCTGGGAGGGGAACTTATTGTATCAGGGGTAAGCTGGTATTCTTATTTAGCATTTTATGTTTCCCATGTAGCACTTGAAAGGGAGCATTTTTCATGGCAATAATGTACAAAACAAAAATACAGTGTTACATAAGCAAGCTTTTAAAACGTTATCATCATTATTCCAGACCTTACAATAACTTGTGTAGAGCAATTTGATTTTCCAATCAGCCTTTGTTTATACTAACCTTGTAAAATCTTCATTCTTCCAAAAGAAAAGTAATTTCATAGTCTAGAAAGTCATTGCCAAGCTGTGAATATTATAATTATTTGGAGCTTTTGTATATTTGCTCATTATAAATCTTCTTTCCTTTGTTAGTACTGGTAATTTCCTTTGTCTGTGCAGAAGCCAGCTCTGTATGAAGTACATATTGTTAAGATGGTGATGACTAATGGGATTTCATTCACTCAGGTTCCAATGCACACTAGGTTTAGCAAAAACTCTGGAAGGCCAGCAAAATATTTTAATTTTAGATGCACGAGCTGTTTTCAAATACTATTGGCAAGCAAAATGATTATATACTGTAATTCCCATTCAGTTATTTTCAATGAATGCTACAAACTTTTTACATATAATTTTTTTTAGAAATAAAGACAGGAATGTGCAGCAATGGTAATATTATAAACAATGAGTTTTCTACATTTTTAAACTATTTTTACTTTCTTTCTCCTAATGTTGGACTCTGTGCCTCTAGGAGATTACTAGAATGAAGCAGTAGCAATTGCTGCTCTTTGTGATTTTTTTGTTTTGTTTTTTACTCATCACCCTAATATTAGCTCCATAATGCCTTTGTTATCTTATAACTTAAATACAGACCATATATATGTAAATATGTAATATATTTCACTCTCCTGAGTGTGTTTTCAAAATTATGGTGATTTGTGAGACCCAAGAAACTTGAAAAAAAATTGTTTTCAAATGTGGTTTTGAAAAAGCACCCTTTCATTGTTTAAGCCCAATCAAGTACGAAGATTGTTAGGACAACTAACTTGTGCCCTTCATTTCATCCATAAGATTCCCCAGTGAAATCACTGGCCTTCCTCAAACATGTCAGAAGTCAGAGCAAATGTTCTCAACTACATAACATTTTGGGTTTTTTGCAAAGCACTATAGAAGGTCTTAAACATTTGCCAGGCTTTCCTGCAATTGGTCTTCACTTCTTGACATATGTACATATGTAATTTTAATACCTTGATCTTCCCACAGCAATGAAAAGATCCTCTTCCATTTTCCTGATATTAGTGGAGTGATCTGTCCTTGTTTCATTGACAGCTATGCTGCATAGTAAATGCTATGATCTTTTCTTACCTACTGCCATCTGGGTCCAGCTTTTCATACCCATTGAGTTGTCATATTCATCTATCTATAACAATTACCCAAATCAGCGCTTCTACCCCAGCTTGGCTTTTGTGATTGTGTGTGTTTCTTTTTCAAGTCTCTTTATTCAGTGTATGTGGATGCTGAATAAGCCATTGTGAATCTCTAGCATCTATTCGTTACTGGAACATCACCATCCGTTGTGAAATTTAAGTGGCCAAACTGCTTGACTTCATCATTTCCAGTCTGGCATTGTTAGCATCTGCTGCTTACCAGGCTTCATCACCATTGTGTTTCTGTTTGGTTGGGTTTTTACAGTCAGTTACAGACAGGCAAAAACTACCTTCAACCACAGAAATTATTTGGGTCTGTTCCAAAGACTCAATAGTGTTGACATACAGAAAATTTTAAGATTGCCCAGCTTGCTTCTTCTGAACAGGAGGTGATATAGAGAACTGAATTCCTGCACATCCCTTTTTGAGAGCATTATCTTGTTATCTGGTATAACACAACTAGTACAGTGCTTTCCTGATAGTGTTTTCCAAACTGTTTATCTTCAAGGTGCTGGGTACTGTATGCTCCTTTGCTATCCAGAGATCTAGTATCCAAGTGCACATCTACATCTGCTTGTCTACTTGCTGCTCCTGCTTCCATCTTCTTCTTCATTTTCTCTTGGATAGCCAATTACAAATAAACAGTATTTTATTTACATTGAAATGAAATACCATTATTTGGCAACTTGCATACAGTACAATGTTAGAAATACAATAGAAATCCAGAATTCAAGCTTCCCAACCTATGACTGCAGAAGTTTATGTGAATGCGCTATATTTATATGTTTTGATATAAATATCAAGCACCAGGATGATTCTTACAATATTGTAATTTACTACTGTGTTTACAAAGAACCACAATATAAATAAGATTGACCCAAAAGATGAGTTATGATTCAGAACTATTATGGGGAGTACAATCTCTGCTTGAATTTTTGCATTATTAAGAATATTAATCAATATTTATAAATGAAATTAATGTATGCATATTTATGTATGAGTCTATGTGTGGGCATATGTATATTTATATAAAAAGGAAAGAGACATAAAACCAATTAAAACCTAAAAGACAGATGAAAGCTACCCCACAGTTCTTACAGTTCTGTCAGAGAAAAATGTGTTGCAACAACTTCAAAAATACTGTGTACATAACATATAATGTGTTCTATATCTTTTGGTGAAACTTCTATTTCTTTTTTCCCCCAAGATTCAGTAGTTCAATATGGTTTATCTCTGAAAATAAACATAAAGCTGATCTTGTTTGCTTTTTCCTCTGTAGATTGATATGATACTAGCATAGCATATGAAGGGATTCTTTTTTGGCATCATTGACTTTGCTGCAAATAGAAAAACAGATCAAAAAGTAAGAAAATGCCACACTCCTGAAGTGTAAATTATTTCAGTAAAGGAAAGAACCCACTGTTATTTTTCCCTTTCTTTCTTCCATTCCTTTTCCCCCAGCTCCTTCTCTCCTTTGATCCTTCCCATCAAATTCCTTGCATGCAGATAGCAAAATTATTTTCACCAGATAAGTAACATCTGGCAATTGAGAGTTAGCATACATCAGCCTAACCTCATTAATATCAATGGAGCAAGGCCAATTAAGACTATATGTTGACTTAGCCCTTCATATTGCAAGATGAGACTCTTAATTCTTGATTCCAATTGAGTTTTGAAAAAGTAAGGAAAAACTATGTGATACCTGTTTTTCAGTGAGGAGCCTTGTAAACTGGAAGACTATTATAGGGAAGAGAGTAAAGAAATGAGGTGAAGAGGAAGATTGATAAAATCAGAAAGGAATTAATATTACAAAAAATGCAAAAAAAAAATTAAAACATTCAAATCTGTGTAGATTATGCGCTTGTTCCTAATAAAGGTCTCTTTCACCTTGATCCATAAACAGATATATGTTTCTGTAACTTTGAATATTAAATTTCTAATTCCCCCCAAGAATAAACAACTTCCTTTAATAAAATCACAGACTAAAAGTACTTCAGAATAATTTTCTTAGTCTCTTGCCTTAGTTTATTTAATGTAATGTATGTTTGCTTCATAATCAGTTGCACCATTGTATTGGACTGAATCCTCAGAAGTGCTGAACATATGCTACTCTCAGTGAAGTAAATACCATTTACATATACTTAGCTCATGCTAATAGATAGACTTTTTGTGGTAGCTACTTTTGTTGAATAGAATTAATTTTAACATTTATGTTTGTTATTTAGATAAAAATTCAGATGACTTCTAACTCTAGGGCTACTTTATTTTTTTAGTCTGACTCTTGTTAGCTAGACCATTGCAATAAAACAGATCTATATATTCATTTCTTACCCCAGAATATATATCCACTTGTTTTGTTTACTGCTGCTCTGAAGCTGATTAACTCATTTACCTACTATCCAGTTAGGCTATGAGCTTGTAATTTTTAAAATTCTTGTTTATATTAGTAGCTTTGCTACAGTCTTTCCTGCAGAATTATATTGAACAGAATCTAAGAAAATCCTTTATCCAAGGCAACCCCCTATCGCGTTCAGGTTTGATTTAGAAATCCACAGATATAATCAGCTGTTTTTGCCGAAAAATCAGAAAATTTGCCCAAAAAGTCTTAAACTTCTGAGCCATGTACCTTTGAACACTGTGCAAAAATAGTGAATCGATAGCCAAAGCACACTCCAAACTAACACTTTAGCTGGGCCAAATTGCCAAATATTTTCGAAGGACCTTTTATCTAAACATAATAGGCTCAGCTACAATACTAACAGAGGAGTTCTTATAACATTTTGAAGATACAAGACAGTTTAGTTAAGATTGTGACTTTATCTAGGACTTCTTGCTTGGTGAATTTAAGTGAGGACTTTGGAGGGAAAAGGAAGGTAAAAGGAGCTGAAGCGACCCCATTAACTTTGGGTAGGACATTATGAAAATTCCGGGAAAAACACCTGGACTGGAAGGTTGTTTATATAAAAATATTAAAAGATATGGGATATACTGCAAAATAACTATCTGTGTTTTTATTCTTGATCAGTGATAAGAATAAGATAACTAGAAATAGCTAGTCCTCATCCAAAAAAGAATGAGCCTCATTATTTATCACAGAACAGTGTGCATCCAGCATTTACTTCAGGTGAGCTGGCAAATTGTTTCTCTACCACTTCTGCCTATGAATCTTACATCTAGTAAAACAAAATGGTTTAAAGGTCATACTTTCCTTTCATTGAGGGCTGAATCACCTTAAACGACCTTGTGCTGTAAAAGCAGGTTGGTGTGCATATGGGCAGTGGAGTATCAAGTTGCTACTTACGAATTCTATAGACCCAAAGAAAAGTCAGGGAATTTGAAGTTCACTAGCAAGTGAGTAAGGCTGTCTTTCTTTCATTGAATTTGGATTAAGAGCCCATGCACAAGCAGTTGCTTAAGAGCAACTGTTGTGGTATTTAATTTCCCTGCATCAGACAGGCTTTCTGTGGTTTTTATTTTGTTTGTTTCCAAGTAGGCAATCAGAGAGAAGCTTTGCATTTAAAATGCTTGAGAATATGGAGAAGTTTTTTGTTGTTGTTGTTGTTTTTGTTTTTTTTTTAGTTTGGTAAATAAAGTAATTTAATTCCTCCTGAATCAGGA